AAAAATCACGGTTTTAGTAACGCAGTAACGCAGCGTTCCTACGGGAAAGTAACGGTAATCTAATTACCGTTTTTGCAATAGTAATCCCTTACTTTACTCGTTACTTGAAAAAAGTAATCGGATTACAGTAATGCATTACAAGTAACACGTTACTGCCCATTTCTGCTGCTGAGGTTTGAGTGCAGACCAGTGCTGCGAGCCCTTTAAACCAGAACCTGCCCCCAGTCTGAAGTCTCCTCCAATCACAACACGAGACACGCTGATGAAAACGTTTATTCGGAGACAGAAACGGCAGTGCTAGCTCACTGCTAATGCTAATGCGTTCATGTGAATTCACCTTTGATATAAACTTTATATAAACTGTAGACACAAGTCATTGCAGAACAGAAGCTGTTATCACTGCGGCCGCCTGCAGTGCTGCGTCATCACTTCCTGTCCAGCACAAAGCCACATGCTGTTCTCGAGGCTCAGACAGGAAGTGGAAGATGTCTGCGGCCGCAGCAGGAGACCTTTGAGGTTCCTCTTCTCTGTGTTTATTCACCTGTCTGCATGTAATCGTTAGTTATTATTCATCTGTGGCTCTGTCCCACAGCGGGTCTTTGTCCTGTCACCCCGCCCCTCCCTGAGCCTGGTTCTGCTGCAGGTTTCTTCCTGTTTCCTTCCAAGTGCTTGTTCGTTGGGGGTCGTCTGATTTTGGGGTTTTCTCTGTATTATTCTAACCCGTCTGACTGACGCCTACTGTCATCGTCCTGCTGGTGACTTTGAAACACTGAGGCCATGGATGACCTCTGTGACCCCGAGGTGCTTACATCAGGGCTGAAGGATGAAGACACCCTTAGCTCGAGTCATCAGAGTAAAACCAGCTGCAGTGCACCATGGGTAGTTTGCTGGTTCCGGGTTTATGAGGAGCGATCACACTACACTTGTCCGTATGTGACGACTCCTAATCTATGAGCTTTTCCTTTCAGTGTCACAGGCACTGATTAGCCCGGGTCAAAGGTCAGCTGTTTTAATGCAGCTGCAGTAGGGGTGGGTCTAGAGATTTTGACTATGCCACTCTACTGCGATAGCGCATGTTGATGGTGTCATCAAGCTGCGCCTCTTTTGGTCGAAAGTAGGGCAGGGCGATATGGCCAAAAATATTTATCTCTATATAGATTTGAAAATTGGCGATAACGATATAACTGCTGATATAATTGATGCGAGACAAAATGCAACTCCACAACTTTGCTAGCGCAAAAAACCCATCCATTTATTTTCACTTAAACAAGCAGCTGTTTTTATGTACATTAAACCTATATAAACATTTAACAGTGCAAATGCAAATTCCTTACTGACAGCTTAACCAAAGGCATTTCCAGTAGAAATGGGCTGACATATCCTGAGCATAACCATGTATAATATCCACTGAAGTTAAAAAGAGGAGCTTTGCTACATTAAACTGCAGTGTGCCAAATAAAAAAGTCAAATACGTATTTTTCAGACCATAAGCTGCTCGGGATTAAAAGACACAAGAAACAAAGCAGTCAGATAAATCAAACTTTATTCAACTCATTCTTCTTGCTTCCTCCACTTCTGGTACCATTGATTCATTAATGTTGAATTCTCTGGCAGCTGCTCTATTCCCATGTTGTTGCAGTATATTAATGACTAACCTCGTATTGTGGATGGATTATCTCAGTTGTTCTCCTGACTGAAGTTTGGTCCGTTCACAGCATCCTGCCATGCGACTGTATTTGTCTCTAACCATCAGGAACCTTCACGTTAACTTTTATCAAGTGGAAAAAAGTTAGCGTTCATCCTCCAGCTTCACTGTTTATGTTATGCTAACATAGCTGTGTCGCTAGCGATCACGTAGCACATCATTATATACCAGCTAGCCCAACTTCAGTAACCCTACAAACGTCACTGCTGTTTAGTTTTCTGTCTTCATTTATGTTGGAAGTGACAGCAGAGCTGTACGTTTGAATTTTTTCAGAAATCTCTCTGTCAGAACATGCTATATCATGCTTAGGTGGAAGCTTCCTGCTAACTTCTAACTCTGTTAAATGTAATAAATTCTGTTTTCATGGATTTTTAACTCTCAGTGTTCGTTTGACTTTGGGACCTGAAGCCGACGGAGTTTAGGACCCAGATTACTCCACCAGGCTCTTGACTACGGCAGCCGTAATGCTCCAACAATCCATCCAGCGGTGCGGCTTCGTAGCAAAGTCGCACTAAAACATTTGTCAGATGTTTTAGCGCCGTGCACATAAAATCAGTTCGAGGTCAGTAAGCACAACCAGATTTCATACATAAGGCACTCTGTCGATTTTTGAGTCAATTAAAGGATTTTAAGTGCGCGTAAAATACGTTATACAGAAGAAAAGAATATATCGCGATATATATCGTTACCACACGTTTCAGATTACACCATGATATGGATTTTAGGCCATATCACCCAGCCCTTGTCAGGTTAAGGCTGTGTGCAGGCAGGAGTGGAAGTAGAAGGACCCAATGTGCAGACACTCGGAGGCAGAAAGTAACTCAAAACTCAGCTTTTATTGCTGGATGGCAAAAGGTGGCAAACGTAACAAAAACCCAAATAAACTTACATGAACAGGCAGACGGAACACACAGCATAAACGAGAGTAGATCACGACACAGAGAAACACAGGGCTTAAATACACAGAGGGAGCAATCAGGGAATGGGTAACAGGAGGGAGACACAGCTGGGGCAAATCAGGCTTAACGAGACAAAGGAAGCAAAACCAGACACATTAACATCAGACATGGACTTTCAAAGTAAAACAGGAAACATAACACAGACTCACAGGCAGGCACTATAACAAAGGGATGTGGGGAGACAGCAACTATGGAACACAGACAGAAAAGCAGAACACTAAAACTCTAACCAACCCCACCCAGAGACCCTTAACTAAGAATTATCCTAAAACCCGTAAAGCAAAGCTAGAATATAATGAAATAACAAAATCAAAGAACCAAAAACACAAAACACTGGGCCAACGACCCAGGGACCCTAACAGCCCTAGCCTGCAGCAGGTTGTGTGCCGTCGCGCCGTGATCAGAGTGATGCGATATCGGCGCTCCGATCGCGTTTCACTAACATCATCACAGATCTGTGTCCATCTACAGAGACGAGGATGAAAACAGTCGGCCATGTTTGGTTTTCTCCGCAGAGCCGTTCACGCCCCACGATGACGTTTATTAATCACATGGTTATGAAACAATAACCTGAAGCTACAGAGCGCCGCGTCACAGTTGCACACACGTGAGAGTTCTCAGCGTTCAGTTCTGCGCCGTCAAACCTGTCAGCACACGGCTCTTCAAACTTCCTGTATCCAGATTACTTCCTGTGACGTGCCGTAAGCTTCGCCAACGTGCTGCCGTTTGTCTTTAAACATCTGCTGAGTGTCAGGAGGCCGCAGCTGCTCGCCGTGGCTCTGAAAGCTCCGCCTCCAGGCTCGCAGCTTCACTGTCAGTCGCAGTGGCTGCTGTAGCTAGGCAACCAAGCACCTCCAGGCTGCAGCAGCTGCTGTCAACCTCCTGGAGGAGGCGCTGAGAGAGAAACGGATCAGATCAGATTTCTGAGTTTGTGGCGTCGGTACAATCAATAATTTACACTGATCGATTATCTATCGCTACAACCAGCATGCAAACTCCACCCCCTCCACATTAAACAGCAGCTCAAGTTCATCTGAGAGACTCAGAGGGGAAACTCAAAACAGGAAGGGGTTGGCCAGATGTTAAGCAAGGATAACACTTTCAAATTAAGAGCATGAAGGTTCAGTGTAAACACACTTGAGTGTGCAACACGTTTCTGTCCTCATAATTTTATCAAATCAGCTTCACACGACAGCAAAAAGAGCACAGAACACGCTGACACACGCCAGTACTCTGATTACTCTGAGGCCTTTAATGTAATCTGATAATAAATATGAATATTAATAAGAAAACATATATTACAATATTCATTCATCAAATAAACAGGAGGCTACGACTCAGATTACAATCCTGAACTCACGAGGAAACACTACAGGATGATGACATCATGAAGCGTCACGCAACAGGTGACTCACCTGCACGTGTCCGTGTGAGGCGGCGTCCAACAGCCGGAGGCAGGCGGCGCTTTCATCCATCAGCTGCCGTCTGAGCGAATCACAGAGCTCCAAGTCCGAGGAGACGTCAACCATCAGCCGCAGCAAGCAACGCAGCAACACGTCGACACGACACGCCATCCTGACGAGGGGAAACACGCGAGCACATCATACGGGACGGTCCAACGCCATCAGGACAGGAAGTAAGTAAAAGCTTCAAACTCGCAGCTGTGTGTGAGCGTGCGCGTGTGTCTATGTGTGTGATCGTGTCCGTTACCGTGGCCACGCCGCTCTGGTCGTCTTCTGCAGCGCCTCCAGCATCCTTAGCCGGTTCGCCTCCTCAGGTGGGTCCCTGACCTCCAGGTACCCGAGCACCACCCGCTCTAGCCGCCACAGGTGTCTGCACACAGCCACGCCCACCCTGCACACACACACACACACACACAGGTGTGTATTCATATCCTTGTGGGGACATCTCATTGACATATGTTTTTCTTAGCTGCTTCCAGTAACCATCAAACATGAATGCCCAACCATAACCCGACTGTAACACTAAAACCACAGTTTGGCTTCAGACTCGCGGCGATTCATGCAGCTGGAAAACATTCAAACTGTTCTGAGATCAGACTGAAGCAGCGGCGCCCCCTGCAGGCAGAACAACAACGAGCTCTGAAGTCTGATTATCTACAAATTCATAAAAGACTTTTCTGTTTTAATCACAGCTGAGTCATCAAAGCACGACTGAAAACATTTAATTAAATCCGAAAAAAATGAATCATTACAGACGCTAAAAAATACACGCATTTATCATTTCTACATTATTTTATAAATAATTAAATGTATTATAAGTGGGTTTAATATTTACATACAAATGTTTTTCTATAGTAACAGGTAAAAATACATTATCAATAAAATATATCACTTCACAGTAATTAATGTAACCTGTAGCATCGTATATTAAATATGAAATCATGAAATTATGATTAAATATATTTAAAGTAAAATGAAACAAATTACTCATAATTTAATGTGATGAGCCATATATAGTTTAGATATAAAATATACAAATAATTAAAAATTAAAACGTTTATATTTGTCATTCATAATTAATTATACAAAAATACAAATGATAATTTCTTAAAAACATTTTAGATACAATCAACATCAACTTTAACACTTTAGTACAATATCGTGAACTGATAATAACAATAAATGTGATCATTATAATGAACAGATAATATTAATAGAGTTTGTTTAATGTGTCACATTTTCATCCAGATAAATTAAATCACTGATGCTTCCATAGTAACCAAAGGTCAAAGGTCAAACCCACCTGTCGATGTACGCCGGCAGAGCAGCAGCATAGACGCGCCGTAGCACCACCTTGTTCTCCGCCTCCATGTGGGTCAGCATGAGACGCAGCACGTCGTCATGGCGACACGGCTTCCTGCGGGAGGAGGTGGAAGAGGAGGGGGGCTTCTCCAGAACCACCAGCAGGTCCAAGAGGCAGGACAGGACCAGCTGGGTGGGAGGGGGCGGGGTCAGTGACGTGTCATCAGACAGAGACAGAGTCTGTGTGTGTGTGTGTGCTACCTGGATGACGGCGGCCTCAGTCCTGTACAGGTGTTTGAATAACGCCTCATAAAGAACCTCGGCTCTGTTGAACTGATGCAGCTCTGCAGGCGGCTAAAGACACAAACACAGACACACACACATACCATCATCATCCAATGCCAGACACGACGCTGAGTGTGTGTGTGTGCATTTTTTTACCGTGTTGAGCACGATATGGTGCAGACAGCGAACTCCCAGCATGCAGTTCTCCAGTCTGTGGTGGTCACTGAAGAGGAGGGAGGGGGGAAGGAGGCGGGACAGGTGAGGTGAGAGTCCTGGGCGGGTCACCTGCACCAAACACCAACACACAGGTGAAGACAGAGCACCTGATGGGTCAATCAGCTCCAACCTGTTTCACAGAGGAACTACTTTCTGTCCGCTGTCTCCATCCGCCAGCCAAAAGATACGCAGCGAGATGGGAGGGCCGTTTGCCTCCCGTCAGGCTTTATCCTGCTCAGTGATGCGGCTGGCGGATGGAGACAGTAGAAAGGAAATAGTTCCTACATGGAGGCTGGAGAAGAAGGTGTGTATGAGAATGAAGCGCACTTCATAAAAGACACCTGCCTCACCGCAGTCCTACACTTCTGCCTTCACAGTCTCACCTGTTCGGACCATACCACCCTCACAGGTAAGCGGGGGACGATCAAAGCATAAGCAACCAAAAATATCTTTAAACACGGGTTGAAGGGGGAACCTGGCTCCTGCTGACCTCATGCAAACTTATCTCATTCAACATCTTCAAGTGGCATCGAGAACGCTCCAGAAAAGAGCAGAAAGGGGTCAAAGGTCAAACTGACCTGCAGAAGACTCCAGGCAAACACCAGCTTCACGGCTTCACAGCGCTGCCACGAGTCCCTGCTCACACACACACAGACACTTAAATATTCAACAAACTTGTTTTTGTCTTTTAATCACAGAAAAAATAACGAGCTAGCCAATCACACAAACACAGTTTGAACCAAGTGGAGGTCAGAGCGCTGAACACGCATGTTTTAGAATTTCATGTGAGGACGTTTGTACAGAGCAGACATCCCTGCACTCTCTGTGGGGAGAAGGCCAAGGTCCTCACAATGTGGCTGTTCCATCAGGGACTGGTCCTCCTAAGTGATGGAAGGCAAGTGTACACACACACACACACACACACACACACTCTCACTTGGTGAGCTGTGGCTGCAGGATGTCCAGGACTCCTCCCAGAATCCCTCTGCTCCCCTCCGTGTCCCCAGTCAGCAGGTGGGCGGAGTCTCTCCACCCTCCTGCACTCAGCAGCGTCTCCAGCAGGCCCTGTGCTGCTGCTCTGGAGGCGGAGCTAGTCCACACCTGATCCTGATGAACAAAAGCACACTGGAAATCAAACAGCTGTCAGTGAATGCATCACGGGGTCAGACAGGAAGTACCTGTGCTGCAAAGGTGTGTGTTTGATGTTTGCAGACTCACCTGGAAATGTGTGACAGCAAACACGCAGGTGGGTGGAGCAACAGCAAGTAGCAGACTGGTTGTCCGTTCTCTGGCCTCGCCCCCTTTCCGCCTGTCACCCAGAGTTGTTAGCAGAGCCGTGAGAGCGGCACACACCGCCGCTGCCTGTGTGGGGATGCTCTGATAGGCCGCAGCGCTCAGAGGGCTGCAGTCATCCTCACAGAGCGGCAGAGCAGCACAGCCAATCAGAGCACTGATCAGAGAGACATATGCTGCTTCAAGCTCCGCCCACCTACTGTCCTGGCTGGCTGGAGAGAACAGCCAGTCAGATCCAGCGTACTGGAAAAGCTGCTTTATTTCAGCAATCAGAGAGTGGGATTTAGGACAGGAACCAATCAGCTTCACCCTCAGCTGAGAAAGAAGCTCTGTGATTGGAGGAGGAGAGGAAGGGGACTGCTCCTCTGAGGAGGAGGAGGAGGAGGAGAGATGAAGGTCATGAAGTAAAGCGGAGAGCTCCATCCTGCACGAGAGAGAAAAGGAAAAGTCACAATCTGTGACTCACCTCCAACATTCTTCACAAGCTTTTATTTGAAAGGGCTTCCCACATATTCAGTACTGCGTGCTTCCACCAGGGGCACTGTGACCTCTAAGCTGGGGTCAGGTGATCTGCAGCTGCTGTGAGGCCATAGGTGACCAGATGGGATGAAGGTGGAGCTGGGGTGAACCCAAGCAGACACCTGTCAGTCAAAGAGGCCACTCCCCTAATTATGCTACCTTTAACCTAATCGATGCCTCAGTCTTTAACCCTGTCTAATACCTGGGTTTGGTATGTCCAAAAGCAGGATCAAGATCTAACAGTAAACAACAACCTCGTCCTGAAGCACGTCTTTGAGCTCCTTGTTGGAGTCTTTCTGGCTCCTCCGTGGTTGCATTTCTTCTTCTGCTGTTTTATTGCAGGTGGATGCTTCTCTGGTGTCCTGGATTGTTGATTACCTGACAGGAAGACCACAATATGTACGTCTCCCACAGTGTGTGTCT